ACCCCCCGGGCCCTCCCCCTTTGGTAATGGGAGACCCTGTTCCGGGGAAACCCCGGCGTGCCCCCCCCCGGTTTTTTGGGGATCCAAGGCAAAGGGTTTAAGGATTTCGGTATCCCCGCTTTGGGCCCCCCCCCCCCCCCCCCGCCTGCAGCACTCCACAAGTAAGCACCCGCAACGATCGCAGCTCACCGTGACTTGAAAACAAAACGTAGAAACCACGGGTGACAACAAACCAAATATAGGAAATTCTTTTACTAATGTTTGATTTTGGGGAGGATATACACACCTTCACAGCGTCCTCGTCTTTCTCCACCATAGCCGACAGCTCGCTGTCCCCTCCCGCGGAACCCTCCGGCCTCGGTACGACGCTCTTCGACCCGTGAGGAGGAGGCAAAACAAGCGGAAAGACACACACACGCAGCAGCGCAGAGGCAGGCAGCAGAAGCGGGTGTGAGCGGTGGTGGTTGGTGACAGCAGGCTGCTACGTCTCAAGTACACGCGGGTGTGCACGTACAGCAGAAGCTGGCCGAACTCGTGAGCGATGACACCCCAAACGAGAGAACAAAAAAAAAAGTGTTCCGAAAAAACATGTGCATCAAAAAAGATAACATCGCTTTCGCCCCGGGGAATATTTCCGCGCTGTGATTCTCGCCGTCGATTGGAAGAATACACACTCGGTAATATTCTTCTTGAACTGCTGTGCTCACCGCTTGCTGCTGTAAAGAAGAACCTGAGACAACGTTGTTGTCTGGTCCGATTTCCGTCGGATGTCCCGCAGGCGTGCGGGCGAACCCGGTGACCGACCCCGCCGCCGAAACCGGCGTCCCCACGGCTGTCATCGCCTCCGTAGCATGCTGCGGAGCCCCCCAACCGTACACACGGGTAGGTGCAGCACACAAGGGGTGTACAGACAAGTATTAGGCACGTCACCCCTGGTGAGCCGATTTAGCGAGGTCGATACTATTTCAAACACACACAAACACAATGGTCTCGCCTCCGAGGCAACGACCACTTCACAGGACCCCAGATCAGGACCCTCCAAAAGACTTTGCCCAAAGAAATACGCTCCACGACTGGCATCATTTCATCGGTCAGCCCGCTACGGTAGAGCGATCGAATGGCGCTGTTCATGCTAAAAACAATTCAATAGCAGTCGCACGAACTGAATCAGCCCACCTCTTCCCGGGCCTCGTCCCTCAGCCGCTGCTGCCCAACCTCCTGCAAGAAGTCCATCATGTCAACCTCGGCGGTCTCAGAACCCCCCGGGGACCCCCCGTCCACCGCGGGAGGATCCCGCGGAGCCCCCCACGCCCCGCCGGAGACCGCCGACACCGGGCTCAGGACGCACTCGCTACCCCCACCGCCGCCGCCGTTACCGTTGCCGAACACCAACTGGGCGGACGGCGACATCTCTTCGTGAGCCTCCTCTGGCGGGGTCGTCGTGACGTCCTCTGCGGGCGACGGCATCATAATCTCCCCGCGCTCTTTCGGTGTTGTCGTCGCCGTGGAAGGCAGCCCGGCGGCAGCACCGGCGGCGGCGGCGGCGGCGGTCGCCGTCCCTGGCGGTGCTTCATCTTCCCCCGAGACACCAGCGGCGGCACTCTCAAGCTGTGCTGCGTTTTCGGTCTGCAGAGGTTCGCTCTGCAACAGTTAGCCAAGGGGGGGGAGGGGGCGTACTCATACCTTAGCGGTTGACAGCGCGTCCTCTAGAGGACGGACGGGGCATTCAGATTTTTACTTGTTACGGGCCAGACCCGACTTCTCCCGCATTTATTCACTTCCGCCTGGGGACCTCTTGTTGCCGCGGCAAATCCGCACGCAGATTGGCAAAATGACAACCATGATAGGACGTGACCACTGCTCTGGTGGGTACCAACATTGCGTTCGTAATGGGTCGCCCAGGCAATGGTGCACGAGGGGGCGAACGCAAAACATGGGTACATGAAAATGACAACCATGATGGGACGTGACTACTGCTCTGGTGGGCATAAAAATGACACCGCGTTCGTTATGGGTCGCCTAGGCAGTGGTGCATGAGGGGGCGCACACAAACGGGGGTACATGAGGTGGGATGCTTTCCTTTTTGGCCCTAGAGAGGTTGTCGGAGAAGCGGTGACTACACCGCATCTACGACGAAAGTTGCATTTGTTGTCAAATGACACGTCCTCCCCAAGAGGCTGTTCTTCTAAACCCGAGCTTGCTCAGCTTCCTCAAGGCTTTGCGGACACACAAGCTTCTGGGATTGGGCTCCAGCCCACATCATTCAAAGAGACAAGCCAGAAAATACCTCTCTCTATCTTTGCGTATGACCCAAAATGGACACACATACAATCCCGTTGCAGAGTGGGCTTTTCTCGCACTCGATCCTTCGTCTGTATCGCAGGTCATCGCTTTGGACGAACTCGTTTGTCACCGTTGTCGCGTCGAATTGTCCTCTACTCAGATAGCTACACCACGCGTCACCTACTGGACATGAGAAGGACGTCACAATCCACGACGACACATTTTCGGATTCGCTCCGCATTGATGTCCAATCCTGAGGAACTGGTCTACGAGCAGGCTGTACTCGGCTGTCGAAGGGAGACTTGTGCGTACTATAGGGCCATGGCACGGACAAGACAAAAGAGCTACTGCTGTCGCAGACTAGGCTACGGTAATTGCATCGACCACAGCACGTACTAGGTGCGCTTTACTCAATTCTGCTCTACTGATGTAGACATAAAACATGCGCCGGCGTTTGCCCTGTAGCGGTCTTCGACGCCATGGGAAGCAGCTCGATATTTCAGGCATGCAGGTGGTATTCTCATATTGTAACGTCTATCATACGTGCATGTAGCTTCTTTTCACGCTACAGCAATACCAAACCGGCGGGAAACATAGAAGACCATCACCCGCCGCCACCACACGATGATACTTGTACCTGGTCCCCATCCCAGCACTTTCCATAGTCGACGTAAACCCCTGCCCCCCCCCCCCCCCCCAAAAAAAAAAAAAAAAAAGTGTTTTTTTTTTTTTTTTTTTTTTGGGA